ACGCTTTTATCACAATAATACTAGTATTTTTTGTTCATAATTATTTTAAAAATTATTTTTAACTTTTTAGTTCGATGTACTTTAAAAGCGTGTTTTTTTAGTTTTTTAAACTATATTTTTTAAACTATATTTATTAACACGCTTATATTAGTTTCACGTGTATGTTGTATGTTGTAAGTTTGTAACTCCACGCGGCACGTGTTATTATGTCGCGTATCCCGTCGTGTATGACCTTGAGACTATACTGTTGTAACGCATTCGCCCCACCCCGCTCACCACTCGTAGAGAACAATATTTTCCAACCCGTAGACGCGCGCTTGTCATCAATTATATATATATATATATAACAAATTTTTATTGTAATTGACACAGCCCCGCGTCGTTTTACGCCGCGGTGCAAAGTCCAGCAAGTGCCGCACGGCCGACGACGTCCCGCCGTTAATGATACCGTAGTCTTCTTCTCGTTGATAAAAGTGACGTCAACAAACCGGTCCGCACTCGCGCACTGTTGTCATCTACACTGCTAACCTTTTGACGCCCGAGGATTACGCCAAACATCGCGTCGTCAACGAGAGCAAAAGTGCCGCGATATTATGCGAAGATCATTATATTCCTACCGCCACCGCTAATATTAATATATATATATATACATATATATATATTAATATTTATACGTATATGTTAATATTCATTTATATATTCCTACAGCCGACGCCTCTGCCGCCGTATATGCCTCGTGTATAATGTTCCCCCCGCCCACAAAATACGGCTATACCTCATGCATGATACGTTTACGTACTTAAGTCCCTTTACATGTATATATATATTCTAATTACTATTAAAACTTATATATTAATACGCTTTATTCTCATTAAGATATATAGTGTATTCATTCCGATTACGGAGGATGATTCTCGTATCGTTATTTTTCGTCACTACCTCCACGTTACGCGCCTGCTGCTTTCCTTGGATGTGGTAGCCGTTTCTTAGACTCCCTCTCCGGAATCGAACCCTTATTTCCCGTTACCCGTTACAACCATGATATTGATATTAACTACTATCATAACATGAAACTAAAAAGTGAAAAATAAATATAGTTAAAAAAAACTAAAAAACACGCTTTTAAAGCACATTGAACTAAAAAGTTCAAAATAATTTTTAAAATAAGCTTAAAACAATATTGAACGAAAAGTACTAGAATTATTGTGATAAAAGCGTGGGTGCTTCGTGCCATATTTTTCGTATATTGAGCGCCCGACGCTTTTATGACAATAATTCTAGTACTTTTCGTTCAATATTGTTTTAAGCTTATTTTAAAAATTATTTTGAACTTTTTAGTTCAATGTGCTTTAAAAGCGTGTTTTTTAGTTTTTTTTAAACTATATTTATTCTATTAAAATTCTAGGTTTTGTATTTTATTTTATTTTAAAATATCTTATTAGGAGAATATATTGACTTTCATGAATATTATATAATTTAATTGACATAGAATAAAGTTCATAAGACATGAGAAATTAAACTTATTAAATTTTTATTTTCATACTAAATTTAATAATTATAATTAGTATTTATTCATATATTATATTTTAAAATCAAAGAATTACTAATTAGGATATAATCAAAGAAATAAGAGTTGATGTTGCTTTTGGAATAATCCACCAATTTCTCTAAATGAAACACTATCTACAGATTTGCATCGAAGCGTTTCTTATAATAGTGATTTTAATCACTGTCAAATATCATCTAAACTCGTCCCATGTATGCCTTATCTACACTGTGTCTCGACCCCACTGTGCTACCTTATTTTTAATTATATTTCTCTAATCAACTGTTTATTTATTACAAAAAGTTCTATGTTAAAGTTAATTGATTTTAGACCGAGATTCTATTATTATTTCATCATTTTAAACTTTGACTAAGATATCTTTAAAAATTTGCATTATTAAATGAGAGATAACAATATATTGTTATCAGTATCAATACATTAAATTTCTGTATTCCTTGTTACAAAAATAAATTAATGATAAATTTTTAATTGAAAACCAAATCTTTAAAGAATTTTAAAATGTAAACAGTTAAAAAATAATTAGTGCTTTTATACAACCAAATATTTTTCATCTTTACAAAACTAAAAATTTTCTATAGTTTCTGAGAAAATGAGCGTCTTACTAAATTTTGATATATATATATTAAGTTAATTGATTTCCTAGATTTATTATAGATCAGGCGATCTAAAACTAGAGATTTTTTTTTCAATTATTACTTTATTAAAATAAAAATATTTTTTTAAGGACACTAGTAGGGTGACACTTGAAGATGGTTGGAGTCCAATCACAAGCTCTAACATCAATTCGGAGAATCCAATGATAGAACAAATGAATATAATTAAGAATTACATTAAACAAGCAAAAGAAGCTTGTCGTTTTGATGATGTAGCTAGTCTTGAAAAAAATTTGCAAGAGTTAAATGAAGAATATTTTAGATCACAAAATTAATTTTTAATTTTTCAAATAAATTTTATTAAATAATGCAAATTGATGATATTATTTACACTTTTATCACAATAGAAATATAAAATTATAACTTAATAATCAATGGTTACATATATGTCTAAATATCACAGAAATTATGTCATATATTCTGTGTTAAAAAAATATATAATATACAAAATAGTTATAAATAATAATTATAATGAAACATTTAAAAAATAATTAACCATAAGATAGAAAATTTAAGTCATAAATAATAACTTAAATTCTTAAGGATAATAAATATATATACATTAATATATTTACTTATTTGATTATATATATTTAAAATAAGGAATGCTTAATATTTTTGATTAGATATAAAATCTAGAAGAGGTTCACGCCAGTAAATAAATTGATTGTAATCAATTTCTTGTAGTTCATGAAGAACAGGAAACATTTGATCAACCATTGTACTCATATATGTATATCTATAATATAAAATTAAAATAAATGAATATATTTATTCTCTAGAATGAGATTTCCTTAAATAATATTAAAAAGCAAATGTTAATTAATAACAATTTTATAATTTTTTTTTATTGAAAATGGTAATACACTAATTGGCAAGACTTTAGACTAAAGCTAGTTCCAAAGAATGGTGAATAGCAAATTTACAGAGGCATTGATTTTATAGCCTCACCTAGTATTTAAGGCTGCTGGTTACACTTATTTAAAAATATATATGCATTTTAAGATGGTTATCTAGGGTTTTGCAATATTTAATAATTTTTCCTGGTTATTATGTTACAGGTAATCAATTGTCCAAAACTGGCTTTAATCTAGTTATATTAACACAACATATATTTTTTTTTTAAATTGCTTTAAATTTCTAATCTTGTATACAAATCTTAATTGAAAGTACTTAAATAAAATTCTTCACTTATTATGTTATATTAATATAATATAATTATATTATATTGTACCTAGAATACTTAAGACAAATACTGTAAAACATTTTCAACCAATATAAGTCATTTGTAGAAGGAATGTTAAAGCTAAGCTTCCAGGTTTTATGTGACCTTGTTATTTTAAATCTTGACCAAAATACATAATAAATATGTTTGATGAAATAAATAAAGCACAAAAAAATGTTACTTTTAAACTGAATAGACAAAATGATGCATCTTAAAAAAGTAATGTTAATGTTTCAGTAAAAAATTAAAATGATAATATTCTGTAATTATACCCACAATAGAATCCAAGCAAAAATACTATGATGATTCATTTTAGTGATAATTTTGCAGTAAATAATTACAAGATAAAAAATTTTAATTTGATAATATAATTATATCATACTTATAAGAAATTTATCAATATTTTTTTACTAAAATTAAAATATCACCAAAGCTATTTGTATCCCAAATTATGTTTTTATTTTTTTCAATAACAGAACTTTATTTTTACTTAGTTTTAATTTTAAACAAATAAAACTGAGTTTAAATTATTCTAAAAGAGATAATTTAGCCATATCTATTATTATAAATAAGAAAAAATGATTCTACTTCTTTTTATCTTAATAAATTATATTTGATTCAATATTATATCAAAGGTTTAATAGCAATTAGTTTTCTCATGCAAACCATGTGAACTATTACAGAACTATCCCTTACCAAATGTTTCACATTCTAAAGAGGTAGTACTTATGGTTTCCCCACCACTGATAACGTTACAAACTCCATCATTACAGTTTGTAACGTCACTGTTGTTTGACAAAACTGGGAAAAGATCATTAACAATACAACTCTGTCCAATATAACTGAACAAGAAATATTGAATAACAATATTGTTAAAGAATTATTATTTTAAATGTTAGATAAAACACTTACGATGATTGGAATGTTTGGGTTAATTCATGTTTCAATTCTCCGCGGTGATTTATTGTGAAAATTCTTGATATTGGTATACCAATAGCTTGATAAGACCAAACATCCTTAAAAAATATTTAGTATTAATATCATTAAAATTGATTAATTTTTGTTGAAAAATGTATAATAGTAAATAAAAAAGTTTATATGACTTAAATAAGATTTGTTATGGAACAGTAAATTTTATCATAAATTAGACATAGTATGTCTAATTAGCAGGAATTTTTAGTAGTATTTCATAAAAAGCATTTGCTAGAAACAATTTAAATTTTCAAAATAGAAAATAATTTTAGCTTCGATGCGAAGCTGAGAAGGTATTAATTTTACCGTGTTTTTTTTATTTTTTTTTATGTCTGTTGCTACTTTTTCTTAGCTCTCACTGGACCGATTTCTTTTAACAATACGTCAAAAGATCACAAATCATATCTAGTTGAAGACATTACCCTTAAAAATTGAAAAATTTTCCCTCATTCCCGGCCAATGGGGGAAATATCCAAAAAAATTACAAATTTAAAAATCGGTAAATTTTGTCATTTTTCTCACTTTTTTTTCTTAAAACTTCCATAACTTTTTCAAAAATAAACAGATCAACATAATTTTTTTTTTTTACTCATCCTTAGATATTTCCGTTTCAATTGATATCATTTTTTTGAAAATTTAACACTTAACCTGCTCACTGGGGGGGATTTAAAATAGCAACTTTTATTACAAAAACTAACTTTTTCAACTTAACTTTTAAAAGTGTTCCGGAAATACTGCGTCCTTTAAACATTTATCAAATTAAGGCTTATTTTATGTACTATAAAATAAAAAAAAAAATTTGTCCCGACGACCTATCTTCTATGCGCAAATGGCTACCGTATTCAAAAATATGCTATTTTTCTATTAAAATTCTAGGTTTTGTATTTATTTTAATTTAAAATATCTTATTAGGAGAATATATTGACTTTCATGAATATTATATAATTTAATTGACATAGAATAAAGGTCATAAGACATAAGAAATTAAACTTATTAAATTTTTTTTACTTTTTTAAAGTCGAAAAAGTAATTTTTAAATTTGAGTTAGCTTAAATAGCCAATTTTTTAGCTTCGATGCGAATTTTTTATATGTAAATACTAATTTTTGATAACATTAAAACTTAGAAGTGATAGAAAAAGTCTAATTGCAGATTTGAAAACATCGCGAAAAGTTGATTTAGAATGGTATATTTTTGTTACTGATGAAAGTTCCTTGTAGTTCGGTGCATTTATTTATAGTAACAAACAGTTTTTATTGAAATTTATTGTATCAAGCCCTTTAAATTTTTATACACGTAAAAATAAAGCAAAATACAACTTCTTTATTATTTTTATAATTTCTCCATTTAAATTACAATATTAAATTATTGAATATCAATTTCATACTAAATTTAATAATTATAATTAGTATTTATTCATATATTATATTTTAAAATCAAAGAACTACTAATTAGGATATAATCAAAGAAATAAGAGTTGATGTTACTTTTGGAATAATCCACCAATTTCTCTAAATGAAACACTATCTACAGATTTGCATCGAAGCGTTTCGTATGATAGCGATTTTAATCACTGTCAAATATCATCTATACTTGTACCATCTATGCCTTGTCTACACTGTGCTTCGACCCCACTGTACTACCGTTTTTTTTAAATCACCATTAATAACCATTTAACTTACTTTTATTTATTACTTACATTAATTTTATTGCCATAGCCAGCATAAAATGGTTTATTATCACTTGGGAAGAGAGCTTGAATATCCTTTAAACATGATATTTTGAATTCTTCAGGTTTTTTCTCAATAACTTCACGATGAAAAGCATTTAATAGGCTTGTTGGATTTAAAAGAACAGGACCTTCTGGCAATGATAAGTCTTCTTGTTTAATACTTTTTAAATATTCTCTGGTAACTCGAGATTGGCCAATTGCTCTAGCTGATAAGTATAGCAATTTATAACCATTGTCTTTAATTTTAGTAAAGAGCTTTGCAACACCACTTTGAGCCCAATCTTTACCAACAATAGGAAGAATATGACCCAATACATCAGACCTATAATTCAGTTAGTTAAATTATCTGGAAAATAGAAATATAACAAATGCATACTTAGTTATGGTTCCATCAATATCTGAAATTACTATTTTATCATCATATCTCCATTTATATAAGAAGCATTTACAATGGCTAGTACCTTGATATGCAGTAGTAACACTAAATACCAACTCGTTGGAACCTTCTCTTAGATTAAGTTTTCCCTAAAACAAATATTAATAATAAAATATTAGGAATATGAACTAAGCAAGGAAAAATATGTTTAACATTTAACTACAAGTAATAGGATGTTTTAAACTAGATTACTTTAAAATTTATACTGATTAAACAATAACTATTAAATAAACTATGTTAAATATGTATGTTGCCATTTAAAAATAAAGTTAACACCATTATAAGGTATATGCGGTGAAAATAAAAAATATTACATGATTGATAAATTGAGAACATGACACATTTTTATTTTTTGATTAAATGTCTCATAATAAAAGAATCACTTTGTATACAAAATTGTTATATTTGATACATTTTTAACATAGTTAGAATATATCTTTAATTAGTTCTTTTTAATTTAACTTTTTAAAACCAATGTATGTCTAATACTTAGAAACATAATTACAATTTGTTCGGATGTCAAACGTAAGGTTTTTCTGTATTTTTCATTCTTATCTTTGGATTTAAGGGTTAATTTAGAAGTTTCCATATCCAATTCAGAATCTGTTGAACTGTAACATCTTTGTCTTCTGCTATAAGCAAATATTTAAAAAATTTGTTTAATAAAATTAGTAATTTCAAATACAAAATAAATACATACATGTAATTGTCATTTGATATTTCAGATTCTATTTTACCTTCTATTTCAGACTTAATAATTTCATTTATAACAGGATTTTGAAGGATTTGATTGGGTAAATTTTGGGAACTGTTTTTTAATATATCTTCAGTGTTATCTAAACATTAAAGGAATATTAGATACTAAGTTTTTAAAGAACTCAATATAATTTTCACAGGACATCATCAAACCACAAATAAAAGAAAAAACAATTATTTGAAATACTATTTGCTATAAAATTTGAAATTAAAAACCAAAAATTTGATTTGGTTCAAAAATTTAAAAAAAATCAAGCCATAATTTTTTGTTAATCAGTTTGAAATTTGATATAGTAAAAATATATAATGTACTGAATGTATTGACAAACTAAATAACAAATGTTTTGCATGAAAATGATCAAAATTAATATTCAATATGAATTTAATAAAATATTTGGATAGTTAAGTTTAGCCCAAATTAAAAAATTGAAAGTTCTGTTTTCAAAAATCATAATTTGTAATATCACTACCATTTTTTTTTTAATGACATGGTGATTAAATACGAAAAAAAAATAATATTTAAGTTCTTTTAGTAGGATGATTGTGGTAATTTAAAATCATAAATAAGTTAAATTATTATTATACTTGTTGAGTCCTTTGGTTTTGTGTCTTTTCTAGCTCTACTCCAGTTGAACCAAGATGTATAACCTTTATTTAAGACTTTAGTGTTATCTACTTGAACTTTAGAATCAAACACTTCATTCTAAAATATATTATTAACAAATAAATGATTAATAAATGAATAATTAATATACCTTTTAACAGTTTATATTTAAGTCGTCCAATTGCATTAGGACACATATCCAAAATTTTTTTTTTGTTATTTTATGTTTCCCCTATCTAGTTGTAAGCTAATTTTTCAAGAAAACATAAAATTACAAAAAACCACTATTTATAAACAATTATTTTATTGATAAAATATCTTATTATTATTCAATAGTTCTTATTAATTTGTGAGATAACTCTTAAAACGACATGGCACTAATTTATAAACAAGTGCAATTATATTAGTCTATATATACAGCTATATTTAATTGTATTTATAAAGAAAACATATGTCTACACATCAATGTTATAAAACTGATTTTTATATAATATTTACTTGAGGTAACAACTTCTGATAAGCAGCTATTGAGATCAACTGAGGTAATGCATCTTGACAACTATAATATTTTTTATTTATGCATACTACAAGATTGGGGTTTTTCACAAGGTTACTAAAATCAGACGTAAATTCTGCATAACTAATTTGATGAGCTAAAAATTGTTTTTCTGTAAATTCAATGCTATCTAAATTATTCAATCCTCCACAAAGTGAAACCGTCACTTCACATCCAACACTGAAATCATTAGCCAGATAATTTTTTCAGCAAATTATATTTAACATAACAATTTTCACATTACTTAGAATATAATTTCTCATCAAAATCACTATCAATAGATTTTGGCCCCTCTCTATCCATACTAGTAGGTGAATGTGATAAAGAAGGTCCTTTACCAGATTCCACATCATCATCTTCAACTAAATCAATTACTTTTACTTCATCATCTTGTCTTGGAGGAGATTGATTGTACAAATACATATCTAAAACTTTAGGGTCTAATTGTTCAGCACACAAATCAGCTAAATAGATACCAGCATTTTCTGATGAATTATGCCGAATATGTTTTGTTTTTTTCATAAAACCCAACATATTAGCCAACATTGATCTTTGATTTGCAGCTTCTTGCTTTTTTGATACTTCTTCTAAATTAAGTTTTGAATCATTAGAATCTAAACTACATCTTCGAGCTGGTGGAGTAGGTAATTCTCCCCAACGCCATGATTGATGATCAACAACACCACTTTGCAAATCAGCTGATTTAGTGTTAGAATTTGCAAGAAAAATTTCAATGGCTGAATTTCTAGCTCGTTGTTGAAATTCATATTCAGTATCAGACTGAACTGTTGTACAATTATGCCTTATTTCTCCCGTGCTTAAATATAAAAACAATTTCTAATTATTATCATGTTACTTAATATAAGTTACTTAATTATAACATTACTTTGAACTTGGAGATGCATCAGTATCACTAAAAAAATGTAAGTCATTATCTATATTGTATTGAGAACGATCATCAGAATCTGCTAAATGACTATTTGCCGAAAGATCACATGATCCAAATATATTACTCAGTACTTTTGTTTCATCTTTATCTTTTCTTTTGATCATAGATTTTTTACGACGACGTTTGCGCATTTGTGGTTTGGGTGGAGAATCTTCAATTGGTCGAAATTTTAAAGAACTAGATTCAATAGCTCTATTATCTATAGTCTCAGCACAAAATGTTTTTGGCACTGCTAAATCAGACTGTGAAATGACAGCATACTCTACAGTTTTCCGCCTGTAACATATTTATATAATAGAAAATTTTTTACAAAAATTTAAAATATTTTAAGATCCTACGATTCATCATCTGGTATTGGAGAACATGCTAAGTGTGGAGGTATTATTTCACGATTATCTTCTTCCGATATTTCTTCAACAAAAAATGCTTCTCCTGATTCACCTAGTTTCATATGTAAGTATGATGGTTCTCCATTAATTTCTACTTCAACCTAAAAATTATTTGTTCTTGAAATATATTCTCAATGATAGTAAAAACATCATATTTATTCTATATAAGACAAAAATTAGAAATTTAACATTACATGGTCAAAATAAAATTAAAATTATTTTTTTATTAAGCACTACAAATCTTATAAAGTATTTTTAAAAGGATATATGCAAAAGAACTATGTAATTAAATCAATACTAAAAGTATTAAATGATAAACTAAGCTAAAAAATGCTACTTTGATGAAAAAACATAATTTTTTTTTAAATTGTATTCATAAAGTTATGATAAATCATGACTTTATTTTTATTTTATCATAATCAAGATTATGATAAAATTACTATGCTTAATAGTTGAGATAATATACTAAGTTGTAATTATGATTTAACTTAATAAATATATAACTTACTATTTTTTCCCTACTTCTAAGTACACCAATTTTACCAAAACGTACATGAAATGGCGAACATGTAAAAGTACCATCTGGTTGTTCAACAACAATAATATCAATAGCTCCAGTCAAGGTAGCTGGATTAATTTCATTATAAACATGTCGAAAGTTACTAATAAACTTTCCTAGATAATTCATGGTGGGTGTAAATGAGTAACGCTGTGAATTCTTTAATTATACACTGTAACATAACATAAACAAATAATTTTGATTATATATAAAAAACTAAAAATACGATTTCTTGTTGAAATAATTTAATATTTAATATACTAATTGATATATATCCAAAAAATACCAAAATAAAGAATAAAAACGAATATTAAGGATACATCCTTACATTTGCAAATCTATCATTTTAGAAACTTCATTCAACAAATTGAAATTTAAAATTAATAACAACTATTTAAGATAAGAAAAATAAAAATTAAGCACAACGAAAATAATTTTAGCTTATATAACAGCAAAATCCATGTTTACTCTTGTTACTGATTGGCTTAACATTGTTTTGATTCAGATATAATTCGATTTCACCGAACAGCTGATTTTGCATTATATCACAAAGGAACATGCGTGCGTTGTTAATTATTCGAATGAGAAATAATAAAGCCACATGTAAAAATATATACCTAGTGGCTTATTTACCATTTCTGAGACATCATAATATTAACTAGTAGTATAATGCAAAATAATACTAGCCAAATAAGTGCTTTTATTAATGGCGTAATATATTATAAGTAAACAAATGTGCACATTCGTCAAGAAGGTAACGTGACGTATGTAGTACCATTTTACTGTAATATATATAATGTAAACAATACATAACAACATATATTTTACAGTGATTTAGAAAAATAAGTCAGTGTAGAATATTTTCATTTAACAACAAGTCAACTGCATCCTATTAGCATAAATCCAGAAGGCTTAGGGTGGCTATAAATTCTCCTATGTACAAATCGAAGCATATAACTTGCATCAAATTAAACCTACTTAACATTTAATAATGAATCATTTTATTAATAGTTAATAACTTTATTTCCTTTTAAATTTCATTAATAAATCGATCCAAGTGAAAATTTTTTTGGAACTATTCAAATATTCGATATTTTTTTAGCTCCCAAAATTATTACTTTAGAAAGTAATAAACGTTGTTTAGTAATTAAAAAATAATTCACAAAAATATTCAAATAATATTTAGAATATTAAAAAAATCTTAATGTAAAATTTGGAGATCATTAAAAACTCACCTATTTGCATTCGAATCACATTCATAATGATTCTAAAATATTACATTATTAATTATAAATGCTGATGATTGGCAAAACTATAAGAGTGACTTAGCCCCTTAAAATATTTTTAAGACGATAGTAAAATAACTGTAGCAACCCCAAAAATATCTATTCTAGTTTGAATATGTGCATGTTATCACGTTTTCCTTTTAAAAGGCATCTTAAATTATTTTTTCAGAAAATATAGAAAAATCTACTCCTAAATAATTTATTGACATCAATAAATATAATTTAAATTGTATTTAATAATAGCTTAAGCATTGTATAATAACTCTTAAAATACGAAATTTACTTTCAATGATTAATTATAATGGAATATTTAATTTTGTATCTCATAAAAGATATTAAATTCGAAAGAAAATTTAATATGCATTTAGGAATATCATAATAAATGTATGTGTTGTACTTTTATAAATTATTAACAAATTATGTTCAATAATTTTGAGTAAACATGTACAAAAATATTTATTAGGATTAAACTAAAAAAAAAACATTTTGTCTGCGTATTGTTTACTTCTACCAAGTGAAAAACACTCGTCACTAGTCAGTGGTGGTGAGTAACCTTGAAATTCAAAAACGAAAAATATTATTGCAAATTTCTTACGTGTTTGGATATTCAGTTATATAAAATAATTACATATTTTATTGTCCAGCTATTTTTTATATTTTGTTCCCTACAAACATCTATGTATTGTACGAACTATTTTGACATAATTCGAGGTCGACTAGCATATCAATACACATGTCTGCGTAAATTATAAATCCATCAATAGACAATAACATGTTATGAAATATAAGAACTTGTTTATACTAAATTTACACTTTAATAAAATTTCATTGTGTTAATGATCGTTTAAAAACAAATTGGAAACCTTAATTTCATTTCAATTTTGCAAATTGTACTTTCTGTATTTTAGTTCAATTCAATGATATTATGAAGCCCAATATGTTGTATTTATTAGTTATTTAACCTTCAAAGTTCATACGGTATCTAATCTTTAGATATATTACATTTTTTTTTATTGTTGAGGTCATACTTTATCTCTTAATTATTTTTCACAACAAAATCAAATGAAAATGAAAATTTTTCTTTATGTATTTTTTGTATTAACTTTCTCCATAAAACAAAAAATTTAGTGTCGTTACTGTTAAATTCAACGTAAATGCAGGCATATTTATAAATATGACATTTGACATATTTGATAAAGACACAAAAATTATATACTAGTACAAATACAAAGGGATTATTTAAATATATTTAAGACTTTCATTTTATGCATGTAATTTACTTAGATATGAAGTAACTTATTTATAATTTAACGAATGATTTGTGCCCTGAGTTCCTTCAAGTTAATTTTTTCATCAATAATATTCCTAAAGAAAGTTCTTTTGTTAATAGTATTGAAGCAACCTTCCATTTGGAATGATTACAATGTTTTTTAATTTGTAGTCGTGATAAACTTTTTTTTTTGCTCATTCGTGTTTCTTTAAATAGCAATTTAGAGTGTAACATTTTTGGTGAACAAAAATAATGTGATAGATTTGACTCTCTTTTAACTATTTCTAGTCACACTACTTGTACTAAGCTGGTATTAGGTAACATCAAACAGTGATTCTAGTATAGTATAGTAGGTGTTATTTAGTGAAGTTTTGAATCATCTAACTACTTTAGTGAAAGGCCATTATATATCTTGAATAAATAGGCTTAGAAGTTGACATCATTCATTATAATTTTTATTTGAACAGTATTCTGTTAAATAGCAGATTAGTATATTATTTTGGTATATCCAATTATCAGACATAACCAATAGTATTATATCTACTTTAATTATATAACTGACTATGCATAGGTTAAATAAGTTATGAAAGTAAGAAATCAGCAATGATAATAATGACGGCATATTATCCATTAAAATGTTTATAATTCTAAATAGATAGTTATATAATTCATGGGTTATAATATAATTATATATATATAATTCATTAAATTTGAAATATATAATTATTTAGAAGAATGAAATTTAAATCATTAAGTGTTGATCTAATATTTTATTGACTAAATAAATATACAGAATCTTTTTATGAAAACTATGATTTAATCATTGTCAATGGTGTATGGTCAGTTACGCGAAAAAAAAATTACAAGAAAAAAACTGGTAAAAATACTATCCATTATTTATGAAAAATTATTATTGCACATATACTTTAATTAACAATTCAGAACAACAAAAAATGTCCATGGCTTGACGATGGCAATTTATTCTGATTAAACTAAAATTACTTGCGATTTTGTTATCAATATAAGATAAGTTAAGTGTTAATTCAACTTCAGTCAATGTCCTTCGAACAAACGGAAATAATAAATAGTTTTTTTATAATTTTTTCTGCCATTAATTTAAGTTAACAATGTTGGCTAGCTTAGTGAACTAAGGAAAAATGCTTCTTGATCATATTAACCTTTCGTTAACGTTACTTAATTATAAAGTTTTTTCATTTAAATAACATGGACTTTTGACTATTGCTGGCGTAAAGATATTTTTCTTTCCACTTTAAATAAATGTTTTTTTATCTGATAATGAGAAAAAGAAAAAAATCCTTACGCTGAAACTTGCTTTTGGCAGTTTAAAGTTAGTGCTTACTAATAGAAAAATAAATTATTAAAAAATCAGTACACCAATCTAACTTAAAAGATACATTTTTATAACAAAATAGAAACATTTTGAAATAGTTGTGTTTTTATGAAAGTACAAAGCATTAAACACGTATAATAATATTGATTAATGGTGCTAATTTTAAACAGGACCCGATTTAGGAACGTTGAAACCCCAAACCTGTATCTATTTTGAACAAAAAAAAATTAAATATTTTTATTCACTACGATCGTGATATTAATGACTCATTAGTCATTAATATCACTATAATTTCATTATAATGATGTTATTCAATCATTATTTATAATGATTGAATCATAAGTCATTTTTAATTAATAATATATATTTTTAATTGAAATAATAAATAGTTCTCATATTGTAAGTAATGGTATTTACTAGCAAGCTGGAACTTTCATATATATACATATATTGTATATTTTTTTTACTTACTGAACACTCTATAACGGTAAAAAGTCATAAGACACTCAATTAAAATACTGTTCAATAATTTGGATTAATAAGTATATAAAATATTAGTGATGGGCATTTTCGAATATTTAAAACTATCGAATAACTATTCGAATAGTTTTTATACAACCCAATAGTTTATTTTTAGCATGAACTATTCGAATGGGCTACCGAATGTTTTTAAAAAATATTCGATTAGTTCTACCTAAATTTTTTTATTAAGTATACTTAATTATAATAAGAAGATAATTAACGAATACTTATAAATAAATTATTATACAATTAATAATAGTAAAAATTAATGATTGGCATTTTCAAATATTTTAAACTATCGTATAACTATTTAAAGTATGTTTATACACCCAGAGAAAAACCTCGATCTATATAATAAATTCATTGTTCAATTTGATAAATATATCATTACTATTGAATCTATGATATATTTATCAATATGATAATTTTTTTTCTTGTCTTGAACAATAATTATTTATAAGAATAATTATTTTGTTCGTATTAATAAAACATTATCATAAACCCTTGATAAAATTTCTCTTTCAATTTTGATTGAGGTTTTTCTTTGGGTGCACAACCGAATAGTTTATTTTTAGCATAAACTATCGAATAGTTTTAAAATCTATTCGAATAGACTATCGAATAGTTTAAAAACTATTCGAATATTTTTTGAATGACTATCGAATAGTTCGAATAGTGGACAACTACCGAATAGTTCGATAGTTTCTATTCGATATTTCCCATCACTATAAAATATACTATAAATAATAAGTACAAAATATTGGAGCAATTATGGACCGCGTAAGATGGCAGTGCTCGGCGTAGTAATTTCAGTAAATATTTTCTCATTTTTTATGGCGCGGTGTGCAAGAGGATTAAAAAGAGAGTGGGAATTATGGTTTCGCGAAGAGACATGCTATTAAAGCTATGGTTGCCGTATACCGCCACTAATTTCTTATCGTATTTACTTCACGGTTTATTTTTATGTTGTGTATTTTTATAATACACAACAACTTAACAAATGATAAATTAAATTGTCAATATATCCGAAAATATAATTAACCGTTTGTTAAATCATAGAATAATAAACAAATGGTATCAGAGGAAATATGATTTTAAAAAAAATATCGTTTTCTGAATTACCACTCACGCATTACCATTGATATAAGAAT